ATGGCCAGCTGGGAACACCGCAGGCATCGCACGCCTGATGGATTGAAATGTGCAGCCATGTCACACTCATGACCCCTTAGCCACAGAACTGTGCCCTTGCGAAGTCAGCCACTGAGGCGCAAAAGGAGATTGGGTACGTCAGCTCCACTCCTGGCGGCGGCAGCGGCTGATGAGGGCGGTTTGAGTCAGAACACTGCTTAACAGTTCCGTCACAGCGAATGCCAAGTGAGGAGAGGTCAATCCGTTGACACATCAGGCTAGTGGATCTCTTCCAACGCTCGCTGAATGGCAGTAGTCCACGCCAACAAATTGCTGGTGGTACTGTTGGACAAACTCCTTCATTGTCGGCATATCCCAAAGCATGGAAGACTCAGGGTTTTTCAACCACGTACAGAACTGAAAGATGTTCACAAGCAAGTAGTACCCGCGACAGAAAAGCCAGTAACAAATTGCCTTAAGTGACTTTGCGACGCTCTTTCGCTGTCAAGGTTGGTAAGCCCCATAAACACTGTAGGGAACCAAGAGGTTTAGACACTTGACCACCAGATTTGCAACCCAGAGAATATATGTTCCGCTCGGCATACGCACCCAAAGGAAAGAAACACCCCTGTTGCATCCAAGCCAAAATCTTCTTTTCGACTGAAATACTCAGTCCATTGTGAGAAGGAAAAGGCAGACGTCAATTGGATACATAGGCATGCAACGCTGCAAAGGCTTCAGTGATGCGAGAGCCAAAAATCTCAAGTGCAAAGAAGCGCGGCTTCTGTTTCACTTCAAAAACATTTGTCAACTGAGGTGGCACCACACCCATGAACACCTTTCGCGTGTTTTTCTCCGCCCACATGCAGTATCTCATGCTGCTGTGGTCCAACTTGTTGAGCAACAGCTGGACGCGACCCGTCTTGGCGTAGCGCCGAACACTCTGGTCGGTGAGCCATCGACCGCGCTGCTTCACACCGTGGAAGTCTCTGTGTTTGGCGCAAAGATCCTCGGTGGCACCTCCATGTCGCAGCCGATACAGGTGGAGCCCATCTAGCCCCAGCTGCTTGCCACAAAGTGAGTCCGGATATCCTCCACGCTGAAAGGAAAAATCTTGCTGCCCTGACTTTTTAGCCTTTTCTTGACATCCAGCAGCTGTGCCCCTAACCACTGAACACAAGGAGGTCCTCCCAGTCTCTGATCACCACGTTGATCCAAGCGAATTGGCTTCCCCCCCTTGACCCGGGGTATCACATGTCTTTCTAAAAGGTCGTGAGCGTCCAGGACGAAGGTAAAGGAAAAAAGTGACCGTCACCATCAATCGCATGAGCTGTTGGCCGTCTGCCACCATTTGCATGGCTACGCCATACATGGCAGGCGTGTTAGAGGCAAACGACTTGTGGCTGGGCAGGCCTTCTCCAACCTCTCAGGGCCCTTCTTGCCCTGGGAAGGTTGTTCTTGCACTGCAGGAAATAAAATTTCAGAGCTGCCAGGGTCTTTTTGCACATGAGCTGCCTTCCCATCCTCGACAAGGAGGTCCATGAAGTCCGCCAGAGCTGGGTCTGCGGCGGTCCATATTGAGCTCTGCGCTCCACCGAAACGCTTCTCGCCTCCAGCTTGGTGAGCTCCTGCTTTCTTGCCAAAGTTCCCACCTCGCCGCTGCGAGGCACTGACACAGCTTGCGCTGATCTCCTTGCTCTTTTGACTGTTGGCGTCACCGACCCGCAATGGGCCATCACTCGCTTGGCTGCTTTCTCTTTCGCAAGCTCTGGCGGGCACGAACCCTTCAAGGTCCGGACCTCCAGTCTCTGAAACGCCGACTCCGGCGCCTCATCGCCACCACCCTTGACGACTTTGGGGGGGGCGCACTTTCAACAAGCTCTTTCTTGAAAGGACCCGGACTGACTTGCCCCTGTTGAGCCCGTCGGCAACATTCCACTCACTAGCAACCCATCTTGGAAACACACCAAGGCTTGCAGCCAAACAAATTGAGCCAACTTGTTGCATAATGCGAAGCATGTCATAAGCGTGCGCCCGCCCCTTGTGAACTGCGAAGCACAGTGCCAAATTGTCCAACAAAAACACATGGTTACGTGATCTATGCTTGGACGATCGCGCCAGTCTCCGCAATGCCAAAACCAAAGCCCTTCCCTCCTTGATGGTAATGTGTTCACTTGTGTGCCTCCACATGCCCAATTTTACCGTTTTCCAATCTTTTGGTTCCAACAGTGACTGGTCAACTTCCGGGAAATCGTGGTTGGCCACATACATACCTGACTGCTCCACACCTCGGCCACAAATATTGTGCGAGTGTCCGACAACACATCCCGCGGCCCCCACTGTTCTGGAGGAGGACGCCGAAAACGCCATCTCTCGCTCCATTGGCCCAAGCTGCTGACAGCGTCGGCGTTGGCCTCACGTTCGCATCCGTCTGGCGACGCATCTGTCGCTGTCAGTATGCTACTCCAGGGCATTCTCGTGTCAGAAAACAGTAGGGGTACAATGCCAATGAAGTTCAAAACCTCTTGCTTTTCAACTCTATTCAAACAACGGGGGGGGGAGGATCTCGCTCAACAAAATTATAAAGGGCCCGGAAACCAGACATACCATGTCGACAACGGACGCATAGTGTCATAGCACGCTGCACCAATGTAGGAGAAACTTTAGCTTCAAGCAAATACTCAAAACCAAAAACAATTTTCCACATTCTGGACGGTGTAGCCCTGACGTGCCCTAGATCTCCATTGATGATACCCCCCAAAGTCTGCACCACTGTGGCTGCCTCGGTCTCTTCGTGAAGAGAGAAGCCCATGGAACTCAATGTGTTGCAAATCTCATCCCCTCTGGCAGGTGACTGGGTCGGTTGCCATTGTGTGAACATTGTCGCAATAATACGGCATTGATATACAACTGCCCTCTTTCAACACCGGCGCAGGTTGCCCGTCCAAAATCAAGGAGTCCCGCTCAATACCCAATGACCTTAAAGATGCCTGCTCGCGCATGGCCTGAATAAGGAAAAAGGACCAATTAAAACCAATAGGCAGAAACTTGATGCACGGTGAGATGCGACAATGCTCAAACTCCTCGCCAATCGCCCCTCCAGAAACCCAGACCGCCTCTTCCCACGTCAAGTCGCTTGCCAGGCAGAAGAAGTCCTTCATTCCTGGCGGGCAGTTCACGGCGTAGAGACAGCCCCTGCCGTGTAGAGCTTCTCATGAGGTTTCAGCTTCAACTGCCCCACTGCTGGCAAACTGCCGAGCTTCGTGAGTGGTGAGGCTCTGAAAAGCAAATTTGTCTGTCTGCAATCAAGGACTATAGACGCTGACGAGGTTTCGACACTCCGTCAACGATCTTGGGCTTCTTGCAACACAATTCACCCACCGTACCTCTAACCATGCTTGAAAAATCCAACACTTTTGCCGAGAACAAGCGTCTGAGGAAAGACAGGTAACCATCTCTATGGGAAAGGAGCTTATCATTGTAAGGCGGCACACTTCCAGCTTCAGATTCCAAATCAGTCCACCTGGATGCATCTTGCAACATATGACTCTCAAAATCTTCTACCATAGCACGGACACGCCACCCACCTCACCACTCGGCAAAGAGAGCTGCTCCATCACCATGTCCACAACTGTTCCCACGCCAGGCTCGGTTTCCATGTACGATGAGCTGGCGGCCCGAAGCGCATTCAAGGCTCGCTGGCGGCTTGCATCGGCAGGAGGGCAACCCAGCTGCTTCACTTTGTCAAGGACATTCCTTAATGCCTCTTGTTGCGCAGCAGGGAGGTCTCCGATATTGTCTACCTCAGAGACCGCCCCCCCAAACCACATTGAATTCAAAGCGTTGACAGCCAAGTTTGCTCTTCTACCTCCCCTTGAAGGGTGTGAAAGACCGAGTTCTCACATCTGCCAAAAAAAATTTCACCATCCCAAGGAGCTGCACCGCCCAGCGCTTCGTCAAAGCAATCAAAACAAGCGCTCGGGGAATGCCACGAAGCCAGTCCCCAAGCACGCGAAAAAGACCCGAGACCACCCCGGCAGCAGGTTCACTGACCGGACGAGGCCGCCGGCTGCTTTGGCACAGCTTTAGGCGGCTTGCCTTTTGCTTTTCCCTTGGCCTCTTCCAGCTTTCGTCTTTCTTTCATGATCTGCGAGTCAGCGTGCAACTTTTTGGCCACATGTTCTGTCAGAGCCGGAACCACAATTGCACCACCATGCTTGAACTTGTTTCCCATCCAGTATTCGCTACCTTCGTAGGATGGGGAAGCAGGGTTGTATGCATGAGCCTCATCAGCGATCAATTGTTTTCTGCGCGCTAAGATCTCGAAAGACGCCAGGTTGCTCACTGCCAAGCAGTCATATGAAATGGCGGCGTCGAGGATACGGGACAAGATTTCATCTTCAAAGCTTGCCCTTGAACCATC